CTCTTACGCCCAGCTTTTCCGCACGGCCTAACAACCAAGTATTCATAATTTTCGCCAAGCCCATATTACATTTTCTGGTGGTCTAGTGTGCTTTCCCAGAATCAGAAGAACATTTCAAGGTCATGCTCTGAAACTTGGGGGAAAAAAAACAATCAAGCACTCTCCAACCGAAATGGCGTACGTCTATCCCACCGCTGCAAAGTTCAAAAATGCCGTTTGTAAACAAAAAAAAAAAAAAAAAAAAAAAAATAATAATAATAATAATAATAATAATAATAATAATAAAGTATTTTTGGCTATTGATATTTTTGTTTCAATTAGTCTACTTCCTTTCTAATTCTCCAATTCAACTGATCATGTTTGATGTTTTAGGCTTTCCTGACACTATTCAAATCCTATGCAACAATATTTTTTGGCTAGTGCTATCTTCAAGATAACCTTATGCCACACTTACTAAATTCTTCTCTAGTTATTGCCTCATCTGGTTTGATTTACATCGTCTTTACTACTTATCCTTATAGGGGCTTAATATTATTTTTAATACAAATATTCATGCATATTTGATTTGTTTTGTTACTTTACACAAGTTTGAATGTGGTGTTTTCGATATTATAGGTCAGTACTAAGTTTCATTTTTTTTTTTCTGGCAAATACACCTCGCTATCTCGCGACGTCTCGTTATCAAGCTAGTGCTCAAATACATCTTACTATCAAGTTTTGGGGCTCTTTTATTTCTTTTAATTACGATTAAAAGACAAAACAATCATTCTATGACAAACTAATTCGGTAACGCCAGCAACACTAGAACCGCGGATGATTCTAGGCCTCTTAGACCGCACCATATGACCTCTCCTCAACTCTAGCCTAGTAAATCAAAATCAATTATACAGACAATCCATTAATCACTGTATATTGAAGTTAATGCATTATAAAACTTATTGCAAACCATCTGGGCCCAAGGCTATTCGGCTAGCTTCGCTCGTTTCGCTTAAGCTATCACGATGTCTGTAACTAATAGTGAAAGCAGATGAGAAATACGTAGAAATCAGCAAAATATAGAGCTAAGAAAGTAGCTATTCAATGTAGAAAACAATTCTAGCATTTTCTACATTGTCTTGTCATGCAACTTTCATCCTTGCATAAGCCTTTGTCTGCAGGCTTGTGCTTCATGCAGGTGTGATTCTGCAAGCTGCCGCTTTCTACAGGTACACAAATACACACGTGTAGAAATGTACACTGGTACGCCTCGTACGGACATTTTTATCCTAATGCCCGTGGCCAATTAGAAGAACAGTATTTGTTTATAATTATTAATATTTCACTATCCTGTCACAATTCGGGGTTTATTTCTTCCAGAGTCTTACGGTTTGAATATTTCTTGCCGGATAAAATTCGGCGCATGTCGGGGCTTATGTTAAAAAAAAAACAGGACACGAACGCAGGAGACCCCAACTTCCAGGGCACATTGCAACATACGCTTGTTTCAAATACCTGAGGGTTATCTTGTTAGCAATGGAAGAAGGAAATGATGAAGAGTTTGCTTTAAAAAAATAAAGCAGCCTAAAGGACAGATGTTTTATATTTATTTATTTGAAATTCCGTTATCGCCCATTACGAGACTTAATCTTAGATATATTTAAAAAAAACTTACGTAAAATTCAATGAGATTAAGGGTGCATAGTTCAGTGAGACCAAGCATGTGCTCTGAGCGTACTCAACACTATCTATCGTATTCATAAGACATAGGAAAGAAACGTAGTGAAGTTTCACTTTTATATATCCAATGTATCAATCGACAGTTCGTACCTCCGCTTGTTGGTCTGCGCCCATCTGTGTGCATTGTCGAGTTTATACGCAAAAGTAATTCTTGGAGGGGTGTTTGTTTTGTCCTTTTTTCTGCTGAGGTTTGAGCCAGGTACCACGATTCCGTCAGACGAGAAACTTGTTTTTTTTTTCTTCCTAGCCGGTAAAATGTTTTTGTTTAAAATAAAAAAAATTAAAAAGAATAAGGTTGAACCATTGTGAGACATGTTTCACCACTTTTTGTAATAAGTGGTGCGAGTATGGTAACTAAAGGAAAACGTAGCGACCGCTGTTAACAACGAAAATACCTCGGAGCGGTTTCTCAACTTGGGTTTTGCACGCAATCGCCAGATATTCAGTGGAATAGTTTATTAAACCGAATGAAGTGTAGCAACTGGTCTCTTGGCGATCTTTGCTCTCCTAGTAGAATATAACATTCTGAAAGCCCTTTCGAGTCAAGGGTAAACACAAGAAAACAAAAATCCCGGTTCAACACCTGTTCTCCTTTTTGTTGAGTTTTTAGAAAAGTTTGTATGAGCGTCAGGTTTGCAAGCCCAGCGTTTGTCTATTCTCTCCCCGTGTTTTTATATTGATTTTTCGTAACTTTTATTTAACTTTTTCATTTTTATTTGCGGTGACGTGGCCCGAGGCTGTGCTATAAAAAGAGTTGCACACGCCCTAGGATCTAGAATGATACTTTAACATTCTGAAAGTGAAGAAGCATTTGGTAAGGTCACTCTCTACTTTCAACTTGTTTTATTCAGTTTTCCACGTAGTACTTCCATTTCGCCAAATCATAATATGTCTTGTAATAAGTGATCACTTGTTTATTTTTTAAAACGCAAAGAAATGTCGACGAAGAACAGTCATCGCATGGTTGGCTAGATGACATGACGCTTTTCAGGTCAATTTGCTCGATTTATTATTTATTTGTCTGAATTATACGCCTGTATCCAGAAAAGTGTACTTAGATTTGAAAACTCGTGCAATTTGCTACACGACACGACAGCCCATAAAAGAAAATTCTTAACCGGGCGCGGCAATAAACCAGTGGAGTATCAAATTACATTTTCTTTAATCTTACATTAACCAAATCTTTTTTGGGCCAATATGAATTACAGATTGCAGCTTTGCAATGACCTGTCGATTATCCAATAGAAACCTACAAATACGCATTAGTTGTGTAGCTGTTTTATTCTTAACTTAGAAATATTTACGCATCCTCCTCAATACTTTACACGCAACACTAGCACGCCACATTTATAATTTATTACCATTCTAGATTATACAAGGTGTGTAATTTTGATTCGGACAATTTTTTTTTTTTTTTTTTGTAAGAGGTGAGATTTATGCGTATGCCGCATTTGCCAGGTATGTATCAGGCTTGGGGAACATTAAAGGAGGGTATAATCGTCATGGCAAGTTGACAAAATAAATAAAATTCGTTAACTAAATTTTTATTATGTTAGCTTTTGGTGTCGTTGGCGCAGCTACGAATGACGCGCTGCCGAGGCAATGACAACAGAATTCAAACCACGACGTCACTCTCCAAAACGACATTTTGGTACGGTTTGCGGCGCTCTTCTTTGCGTGAAATATTTATATCGGGCAAAGAATCGTGACAACTTAACAACTAATATCTAAAATCTCGTTTAGATATTAGTTTATCATTTTTCGCAACACCGTCTACAATGGCGCTCGGAAAAGCGAGGCAGTCGTTTCAATTCTGTCATTACTATACCGCCATCTGTCATTCGTAGGCGCGCCGATGAAACAAGTAATGACGTAACAGAACTGATACTTCACTCTTAGCGTCCTCCTGAGCTGGGCTTGCTTAGCGCTTTGTGAGCGCTCAGCAATTAAATTATATGAAATTGTTTTACTTCGTCTGTCCGATAATAGTTGTCGCTAATTATAAATCACTTCCAACATGATAGTAATACCATTATTAACAAATCTTAACCAATTATTCAGCTTGCCATGACGATTATTTTAAACTTAGGAAGTCCGACAAGCGCGGTAAATACATAGTGTAGAGGTCACTCGTCTCTCTCACGTTCGTTTAAAAACATGTTTTAATGCATTAAAATCGACATTTGTATATTTTGAATATCAATCAGTATTTGAATAATATCGTATAGAAACCTTGTTTTAACACTTCCATAAATTCGAAACAATGGGTTCATTATCAACTATCTTTAAACATTATGGAAATAAAAAAAAATAATTTTAACGTATAGAGAGGTTCGCATCAGTTACTTAAAGGAACAAAAACCTCTAGATGGCGGCAGCACAATTAAATCATACCGTAGAGTGTATTGTCAAATAAAAATCACGGCCTTAAATTTCCTGCTGAAATGCATGGTATCTGATATCATGTACTTCTGTAATAATCTCCTCCAAAGAAAGCCAAGGAGAAAGGCAACACGAATGCATGCTGTGTCCGATCAAATTCATGTTTTGTGGCACCTGTATCAAAAATACTCTTCTATCAAACACCATTTGTCTGCTCGGCCCTCGGGTAAACGACTTGGTCGTATCATCGAATCCTGTGTGGAAAGCCCAACTTCGAGGCAGCACTGTAAACTTCAAGACTGCATCCGTCACATTTAAGGTCTGCAATATATGTACAATTGCGCTGTGCTTGAACAAAAGCAAGAACTGCGTTCGCCGCTTTCAGGATTGATGAGGCACCAATGCATCGTGTCTCAATAGTATGCACAAATTATTTGTCGTGTTTAAATACAAAACTAAAAAAAAAAATATTTTTTGTGATGGTTTATTTTAACAAACTCTTAAAAATAATTTCTTGTAGAAACACGAAGTTGTGAACTGAATAAATAAGTGGGAATTAAAAACTGCGTTTGTAATAATTTCGTAATACTAAAAGAACAAGAGAAAAAGTCCGAGCTTCTAATTTGTTTAACTGGTTGCAAAAACTGGCACTTCAACCAGAGGTTAAGTAACTTGCGGAGGCTAAACTACCAGTTGAAACAACTACTATTTCCTAAACAGTTTTTTTATGAAATTTCTAAGAAAAGCAACCAAACCGTGTTAGGAGCTCTTTGCACAACGCTAACTCGTGATGAGCAGACACTTTTTAGCCATTTAATCTTTAATTGTAAAGAAGGCTATAACACGTATTGTCTTTCAGGAGATACATACCTTGAGTTCCTCAATTCACCTGAAAAGTAGACATGATCAGGATGATGATCTCGCCACTTTCGATCGTACTTCTCGCTGCGTCAGGTCACATACATGGTAAGTAGCGTGCTGAATGGTGAACATTGTCTCCTGTTGATTGTTTCCATACATCATACGTTATTTCCCCTATTAAGTAGAACCACGATTAATTCCCCTGAGTTCCCTAAATGGCTTACTAATTACAGGGATACAATTTGAAGCTTGCTTTTAGTAAAGGAGGAAAATCTGGCAGTCAAAAAGCGGAGTTGATCGGGAAAAGGCATGTTGTGAGGTTCACGGTATTGCAGGCGTAACCGAAAAAATATATATATATATTACCCGCTACATGCAAATTAACGGAACGTGTTACCGTCCTAAGTTACCTTGCATAATAGACAGTTTTAGAATATCGTTCCGAAATCTCCGATACCCTTGATAACGATACACGGTAACAACACGATGCACGCCCAAAGGTGGCGGCCGAGTATCAGGTATTGGTATCAGAGTCATCGGTACGATTTAATAAAAAAATCTTATAAAACCACGTTACCTTTAGCGATAAAAAGTAAATCACGTTACATTTTACTCATAAATGAAACCTTTTTACTCTTTTGACGCAACAGCTGTGCATAAACGCCTTAATTCACGGAGCATTATGCACACCCAAAAATAAAACATAATTACCTTATCTTTTTTTACGATTTTGTTTTTGAAGGTATGTGGAACGAGTTCAAGAATTCGTAACTTGGGGCCTAGAACGCAAAAAAAATGATGTGCATGCTCAGTAAGTTTTCGGATGAAGCTGTATTGAGTAATGTAACTGCTCGATACAGCTTCATCTCAAAACTTACAGAACACGCATTTCATTTTTGTTTGTAAATTAAGCGCTAAATCACGAATTCTTGCACTCACTTCGCATACATTCAAAATCAAACCCGTAAAAAATAAGCCAATTTTATTATGTTCGTCAAAATTGCTCTCTTCGAAATACGTAACACAAATGTGTTATTTGTTGCTGTTGATAAAAATAAAAAATGTACAGTAGACCGTTACCAAACAAGCATTAGTTACCGGTAACGCCCTTACTTTCAGCATGCTACCGCCAAACTTTAAGTTTCATAAATACTTTTTAAATATTCTTGTATACAAACTGGTACCTCTCCCAAGTGCAAAGAAATATCGCATTATAAAAATCGAAACTTCAGTATCACGTTGCACATTGTTTTGTAGCACAATATATTAATTGTGTTGGGCTATGGTTAGGGTGACCACCCGTCCCGCGACTCGCGGGACTGTCCCGTATGGAGGACTCGTGTCCCGCGTCTCGCAAGAAATATCAAAATCTTCAAAATGTCCCCTATTTCCCATTGTCGTAACATTCACTACACAAAACTATGGCGCTTCCGAACAACGGGTTACGGGGAAGCGCGGAGGTCGCTGATAAACGTGAAAATCTCGATGGTATGCCAATTTCTATCCACGCACTGCGGGAAGCGACCGTCGTTCTTGCAGGAGACCAACGCGCATGCGCCGTTGTGCCTCTCCCCTTTATGACACAATATTGCAAGCGAAAATTGCTCGCCAAAAGTGGGAAATATAAACTATTGCAATTATTTGCAAATCATACTGTATCATGCAAAAGGGTTGTTGTGGAAAGATTTTCTTTTAGTGAAGACGGTTGCACAAGGCGAAAAATCTGCAACTCACAACGGTCGAAAAAACAACATAAGGTTTTAATTTTGTGTAGGAGCATGTTAGTATAAGAGTAAGTATCGACAAAAAACAAAAACCGAAAAATATTAACTGTTTCTTATTTCCTTTTGGCGCATTGGGGTCTGGTGCTGTCTGTTATTATGTTTTTAACTTACACACCTTTAATAAAATATGTACCGTTAGAATCAAACAAAAAGATATCACTGTTAGTGAAAATTATTTTAGATTAATTGCCGCACACAATTTTCAGGTGTATAATATCCGTTCGGACAGCACAGGATTTCGGGGTGTGCGTGTTGGTGAATTTCCTGTAATACTTTTTTCTTGAGTTGTGAAAATACCGTCCTCCTCTTACACCCCTCTCCCTGCTCGCTCGTAGACGAGTGCATGGCCGAATGGGAGCGGACTCCTATTCCCTTTTTTATTATTTTTTTTCAATATAGCCTTTACGTAAGTTCGAGAATCTTTGTCGCCTGATCAAGTCACGAATGCTCTACGCATGAAACGTTCTACGTCGAACCTTCTAGAAACCCACGCGGGTACAAAAGGTGCTCCACGTGGCCGGTCCGAGGTCAATCTCGCATCAGCGCTTGACTCCTGCGGTTACGCGGACTTTGACGTTTGCGACGCTACAATTTCTCTTGTGGTTTGTTTACATAAGTTAGTCATATTAAAAATCCAGTTTCTACAGTTTATTATCGGCTTCATCTAGTCATTGCTCCCATCTCAGATAGTATCGCTCACGAATATGTTGAAAAGCAGAGGCGATAGTTTAGAACCCTCAGAGATGCTCGATCTGGAGAGGTACGCGGTAGACTGCACTCTACCGTATGAAACAGAATCCCATCGACCATGCAGATAACTCTGAATCTATTTGTCAAGTAGTTAGGACCGATCGTATCACGAAAGCATTTTACCTGCCAATGAGCGCATCACCGGATCAAGTGTTTTATTTATTAAATCAAACTAAATTCCGTCGACCTGCTGCGTTGACCCAATTTCACCCACAAATTCTACAAACGCAATTAAATTTGCCTTCGCAAAATAATTTGACATAAAACCATAATCTTTCATGTTTATTCGTCTGAAAAAAGCGCATAATATGATAATGCATGACCTTTTATAAGATCTTGAAAAACGAACCGACCAGTGAAATGGGACGATAATTACTGGTAGGTATAGTGCTGCTGACCCTCCTTTCAATATTGGCACAACTAGTGAAAACTTTCACTCTGTTGGAAAAAACTTACCTTTAAGTGACCGATTAAAAATGAAATTTAAAGTCGGATCTAACACGTCGCGGCACACTCTTCAAATGCTTGGCAGATGTAGCAAGAACTGCTGATATGTTCCGAACCGCTAGTTAGTATGATCTTTTGTGCCGCTAGTTGGTGGTATATTCTGTGCCGATAAAGACGCTTCGCCAAAGCACGTTGCGACCTCAACTATTTGTATACAACAGATTATTAGACTGCTTGCAATTTCTGTGATAACGTAGCTCTTTTATAATTCTGTATTTCAACTCGCGGGAAAAGCAGTGAGTGTAATGACTTGTGATACCATATTGAAAAAAAAATAGCGCACAAATAAAGGACGACAGAAAAAGGAATAAAATTGATATGTGTATGTTTATACAGCCTAGAACTTTGTCTGCCTCACAGGGGCGACGAGTCTCCCAGCTGTAGATGAGCAATTTAGCCAGTGCTAAATTGCCGCTAGCCTGGGATCTTTAACGTGCACCATGCAGTAGTGATACACGACCGCACGCCGGTACGATGCTCATCCAGATCGAAGCGGGCAGGGGTGGGGTTTAAACCCAGGATCCCTGTGTTCTGCAGCACGAGTTTCGCTCAACGTGCTCCGAGCAGGTGTGCAGCCGAATGGACTACGCGCTAGCCCACTCATCAATCGATCCCTAGATGCAGGAACTGAAATCAGAAGGCAAACAAGCGCAAGCTTGCAACTCAAGTATATATTAGATGTTAAAAATAATAAATAAGCAGGAAGGGGGCACAGGGATGAGGAAGCCGACACTGGCACCAGGGAGGAAGCAAGGGCATCAAACGCAATCACCAGTCTTTAAACAAAAAAAACTGCAGTAGACACAGTTGTGCGGAAGGGTCGGAAGAAGAACAATGACTAGCACTAAGGTTAAAACTTGGGTCTGCGCGAGTTGGTTTATACTGAGTTAAAAATGTTAAAAAGCGCAAATAAAACAATAACAATGAATGCATAAAGATGACAGGACGGTAGCTAACTCACATTTGATTTTATTAGAAAAAAGTTGTTACTTATATAGACAAAATCGTTTGCCACACCTGCAATACAATCAATCACCACTCTCACGAGCAGTTAGCTATCTAGAAAAGTTAGTTCTTCTTGGAGCATAAAATTAAAAGGAAGACATGCTAACGCAGTTGTCATCCTTCCTCTTGATGTAATACGCCTCTACAATCTCTCTCTCTCTCTCTCTCATGGTTTTATCTTTCGCTTTTTTTTTAAACTTTGTGGCAGCCAAAAGAGGCTTACATTCTGCGCATCTCCTGCAGTAGTGAGCAAGGTGTCCTCCCGCATTGATGCGCACAGCCAGATTATGTTCCCGTGCCCTATCGTTAAACAGAGACCAGTTTGCCCCATGTAGACTTTACCACAGCTTAGCAGTATCTAATATACGACATTGGTGACGCATTCAGTGTACTGCACTGCGCGCTTCTTAGAGCAGAGCGCTTTTTTCTGCCGTGTAAGCATCGGACAGATTTTTGAGAACTTGCACGGGGCCGAAAAACAACGTTTACATTGCATCTGCTAGCTATCTTTTTAATCTATTGGGACACTTGATGCCAATACGGAATCACATGTACGCGTCTTTTAACTTTAATTGTCAGCTGCGCCCTTGAAGGTCCTTATGATCATGTTTTCTGACGACAATATTTTTTGGAAGTATAGCCCGCGATCCAAGAAAAGCCTCGTCTCTTACAAAAGTGCACATTCCAAACTGCTCAAGGGAGGCATATCCTTAACGTGTCTTCAGGCAGCTCTAGCAAAAAGTTGCAAACACCAGAGGGCTGTCAGGTTTGCTAAGGATGTAAAAAGGTTAAAAACGTAGGCTACCCACTTAACCTAATTTCGAGTTGCTGTGAGAGCCTACTTCAAACAAAACGAACTAACATATCAGGATGCAGCCAAAGAAATAAAGTTAAAAGACGTGTACAGGTGATTTCATATTGGCATAAAGTGTCCCACAACATTAAAAAGATAGCTTGGAGAGACGATGTAAACATTGGTTTCTTGGCCCCGTGAAGGCTCTCATAAATCCGTCCGATGCTTACACGGCAAAAGAAAGCACTCCGCTCTAAGAGACACGCAATACAGTAAAAAAGCTGATTGTGTCACCAATGGCGTATACAATATACCCTGAAGCTGTGAAAAAATCTACATCGGGCAAGCTGGCTGTTTTTTTAACGAGGTCACGGGAACATGATCTTGCTGTGCGCAACAATGCGGAGGGGGGGGGGGGGACATCTCGCTCACCACTGCCGGAGATCTGCTGACTCTAAGCCTCCTTTTGACTGCAACAAAGGTTGTAAAAAAGTAGAAAATGAAGCCGAGAGATATATTATACACCCGTATTACATCCAAAGGGATAGGTGACAACTGCGTCAGCATGCCTTCTTTTTTCTGCTAAGAAAGAAGTAACCTTTCTAGATAGATGCCTGTGAGAGTGGTGATTGGTTGTATTGCGGGTATGGCAAGCGTTCTTGTGTTTATAAGTGACGATGTTTTTCTAACAAAATCAGCTGTGAGTTAGCGCCCGTCCTGTCGTCTTTGTGCCTTTATTGTCCTAGTTTTGTTCGCGCTTTTTATCCTTTTAAATGGTCACTAGGGGGCGGCAGTGACTTCAACCCTTCTCGCTACTCTTTAAAAAATAAATTTCCTTGCCAGGTAAGGATACACAAGGCTGGCCGACAAAGCGTTCTTCCAAACTAAGATTATAGACGCACAAAATGTTTATCTAATATGTTTGTCTCTGTATTAGCATAATAGGGTAGTTTAATTTGAACTGTAAATGTGTAAAAGATATTTCTCAAAAACAAACGATGAACTGCTTGTCAGCTCTACTAATAGGCATTTCCCGGTAAAATAACGTACCATCGTTTTCTGAATGTGTGAAAAGAGGCATCAATATAACGCTTTACATTCTCTTTAAATCACGATAACATTTTGTGCAAATGACGTATCGCTTGAATAACGAGCTTCCTGGAATTAACGGCTTGCGCGAAGAAAACGAAATCCTGTTTTTAAAAAAAATGGGCTATTTCGTCATTATCAAGGAATAGCCGTTCATATTCTTTTCGGAAGAGCACGGTAACCAAGAAATATTTTCACCCTGGAAGAAACTTTGGAACTGTAGAACCCTATAAAGTGTTCTGCTTTACAAACACAAAACAAAAATGAAAACTGCGTTAGGAGACTAAATGTGCTGTGAAACATACTCAGTGCTCCAACACTTTTTGCATATCAAGAGCTGATAAATGCCTAAGATTTTCAACTTCCGAAGCCTCCTCGACACACGAAATAATACTTCTGGTTGCCGTGCACTGCCAAAATAATATTTTCGGAAATGCGGTAAACATAACATAGTGCTTGTTTTCCTCGAGACATGATCTGAAAGTGACGGGTGTTTTGCTGCTCAACGCTTTTCTCCTATTAAAACGTCTGTGCCACAATAGTTTGTAATGCAGTCTCAGCATCTTTGATAAAGCTAAAGAAATTTGGCTGGAAGCGCGGTGAATAAACACCTGAACACAACTCCCGCGCACAACAGTCATAGAGTAATCTTCAAGCAACACATAAAAGGGATCATGTTAGGTACAGCGCAGCAATTCGCTGTTCACAATTTCGTTTGTGCACTATTAGGCAGCTCACACTTCTAAGTTGAAAGCGCAGATGCCAAGCACAGAAGCTTTTAAATAGGTGAAATAGCATGCAGCAAAACAGCAGTCGCAGATTCTCCCATGGAATGCACCTGCGGGCACTGCT